TATGTATGTGTGTGTGTATGTGTGTTTTCTAGAATAGAACTAATTACTCTGTGCTGTTTTGACTCAGGCTAGGAACATTTCTATGCATTAGGTATCAAACTTTGCATTACATATTTTCTGCATGCTTATTATTCTTTTTATAGTTATCAGGTAATAAGGTGGAGTTTAATGTCATCAGCCTCATTCTAAGTGGCCTGTGTAAAAGATTCTTATTGTCATCATCAAGAGGTTCATAGGAAGTGAAAAACACTGAAATGCTTGAAAACAGTTTTTACTTAACTTTAAAATCACTTTTAGAATAATTTTTTGCCAAATATCTAAAAACACGGGATAATTTTAAAATGACCGTTGTGACTTCCATCCAAATAGCTAAATCGTGGAAATCAATAATACTAAGGTGCTTCAAAATGGTTTGTAATGATAAGCATGCTAATAATATTGATTTGATCATCACATGTGGTACACAAATATTGATAGTGAAGTCTGTACCCCCTAAGTGTGTATAATCAATTATGTTTCAATTTAAAAATAAGTTAAAATAAAACATATTAAAGTGCTTCAAAATAGTGGGCAAATTAACTCACCTTGTTCATGGCTAACCTTGAGTGCTAGACTAGAACTGAAAATCTGGGCAGTTGTTTATTGGGTGGATATCTTAAGGCATTCCAGCAGTTAAGACAACATTATTTTATTGTCCCCAAATGGAATCAACTTAGTTTGGTTTTGGGTTCTCATTGTTTGACAATTTTATAGGCTTCCATTTAGTTCTACCAACTACATTCTCAGGATTTCTCTTCTTTTCAAACAAAAGACTATGATACTTAAGAGAGGATCAAAGGTCATGCTTGAAAGCAGCCCAGTCAGGCTTGCAGAGCATGCACTTCCATATTCAAATTTACTCTTTCAGACTTTCATGGTTTGATATGTATGCATATAAACATATTTTAAATATTATGAATATTATATAAATGAGGGAAGATGAAATCAAGTCTTTTCTTATTTAGAAAGGATAACACAAGAAGTTAAAATTTTGAATTAATGTAAACATTAAAAAAATGAGTGACGGAACTATAGAGACAAAAAAGATCATTGGTTTCCAGGGGCTGAGGGGCAGAGAGAAGGGATGAGTAAGTGGAGCACAAAGGATTTTTAGGGCAGTGAAACTATCCTGTATGATACTATAATGGTAGATACATGACATTATGCATTTGACAAAACCCACAGAATTGTACAACACAAAGTGTGAACCCCAACTCTGGAATTCAGTGAACAACAATGTATCAATATTGGCTTATCAACTGTAACAAATGTACCACACTGATACAAGTGGTTAATAACAGGAAAAGGAGGGGGTGTATCTGGGAATTCTCTCCTTTCTGCTCAATTTTTCTGTAAACAAAAAACTGCTCTAAAAAATAAAGTCTTTTAATTATAAGAAAGTAATTCATTTAAAATTTAAATGTTCATTCTCTGGAAGTTCATAAAGCATTAAAAAAAAATGAAATGTCATATTGAAACCTGTGTTTTTATTTAATTTCATTCATCCCATTGAAGGTTGTCCCTGCAATAGAACAGGTTGAATGCAGTGTTAAATTTTTAAAAGTATTGAATATTGAATAGCAAATGTTCAAATTTGGCAATATGAAAGATTACATACCCTGAAACACTCCTACATGAAAATATGTCAAAATGCTGAATTAAATATAAAAACTACCATTTTAAATTATGAATGACTTCTAAAAAGATGAAGGAAAGTGAACAAATATTGAATATGTTCTCTATCTTGGGGCCATTTATCCCAAAATCTCCAGTTGGCCAGAGCTTCCATATTAGTCTACTGCATACTGAAAAAGAGAGTCAAGGCCTTGAGCCCATGAAGAGAAGGGAATTTGACTGGAGACTAGAATAAAGACAGGAATGACAAAGGACCAACAGTAAAGAAAAGGATGAATAGGAGAAAAGAAAATATTGCTGAATAATACAATAAATCTTAGTTAACACAATCAATAAAGGGAATTAAAAAGAAAGAAAGAAAGAAAGAAAGAAAGAAAGAAAGAAAGAAAGAAAGAAAGAGAAAGAAAAATAAAGGGGAAGAAAACTGAATATCTTCTCCATAAGAATTTGTAGTCAAGTTTTAGAGTCTATATTTACAATATATGAGAAAACATGCATGCGCGTGCACACTCACACACACACACACACACACAAAGCCATACAAAAAACCCATGATCAGTTCTTCAATCTAATAATTTAAAATTGATTCTAGATGGTAGTGTCCCAGACATCCAGCAGAAGCACACAAAAATCACGCTTGACCCAGGCTTTAAAGACAGATATCACACTCAACCCTGGTGTCTTAGTTCGGGTTGCTATAACAAAGTTTCTTTGACTGATAACTTATAAATAACATAAATTTATTTCTCACAGTTCTGGATGCTATAGTCTGAGGTCAGGGTGCCAGCATGGTGAGGGCCTTCTAGATTGCAGATGACCAACTTTTCCCTGTATCCTCACATAACAGGAAAAGTGCTATAGAGCTCTCTGGGGTTCCTTTCATAAGGACACTAATCCCACTCATGAGGACTCCATTTAATTACTTGAAGGCCCACCTCCTAATACCATCACATTGGGGATTAGGATTTCAACATATGAATTTGTGGTGACACAAACATTCAGTCCATTGAACCAGGCTTCAAAGATTTTTCACATATAAAGTTGCAGTGAGGAATTGGTAAAGGGACAAAAAAATTACATTGTATAATGTTGAGTGTACTAATTGTCTTGATTTGAGCATCACATATTGCATACAGGTATTTATATTCAACTCCTTACCCCATAGATATATACAATCAACTGTTACAATAAAAAATAAAGAAATGAAAAAAAAACAAAGGAAAAAAAAAGAGGAGAATTAAGCCTCCTTGGATGAATTGGCAGAAACAAGAGCAAATTAAAACAAAAGATTTCAAATATCAGATACACAATATAAAATAATTATGCTAAAAAATAAAAAGAAGAAATAAAAGCATAAACAGGGAGTAAAGAAACTATAAAAACACCTAGGAAGTTACGAAATATAACCAAGTAGAAATTCTACAATTAAACAATACAATCACTAAAACGAAAATATTAATAATGGTGTTAAGTAGCAGATTAGAGACATCTGAAGAGAGAAAGTTTGGAGGATAGATCTGAATCAAAAATACACATACTGAAGGACAGAAAGAGATATGGAAAATATGAAAGAGAAGTTAATAGACATTGAGGAGACATTGAGTGACAATGTCCACATAATTCTCACTGGAGTTCTAAAATCATATAAAAGAGAAAATAAACAATTTTATTTGAGCTACTTTAAATACTTAAATAAAAGAAACAAATTCCTAGAAAAATATAACTCAGGAAGATACAGAAAGTATTAGTAGTCCTATAATCCTTAAAACAAATTCGATTAATAGCAAAAAATCCCCCTTGAAGAGAACACAAGACCTAAATGGCTTAACAGTAGATTTCTACTCAACATTGTAGGGTCAGATAATGACAAAAGATGGTCCCAACCATGTCAAAATTTAACATGGTCAATACAAAATGGAAAATTACAAATTAACCCATTCATGAACATAGGTGAAAAAAAAAATCCTGAGCAATGCATTAGCAAAACAAATCGAGCTGTGTATTAAAAAGATAAGACATCACAACTGGGCTTATTTTATTCCATAAATTCAATGATGGCTTAATATTAGAAATGTTAATTAATGTAATTCACAACACTACCAAATTTTAGGGAAAAACCATCTCTGTTTTACATTCCTTTAAAGTAAAATCTCTAATTTAAACTAGAAGTAGAAGACTTCATCTATACTTAATGAAACCACAGTAAGATGCCATTATTCACGACCCACTTGGCAAATCACACCAAATGTTGGCAAGTATGGGACTCAACTGGAATTCTTATATATGCTGCTTCTGAGAGTAGGGCTGATAATCTGACATTATTTAGCAGATTTTAAGACTCAATTACATTCCACTATTGCATATGTGCACCAGAAGACCTGCGTAAGAATGTTCAGGTTACAATACTATTTGTAATAACAAATAACCGGAATTTTGTAGTGACAAAGAACCCAAATATCTGTCAATAGGAGAATGGGTAAGTAAATTCTACAGATATAAAATGGCCTACTAGACAGCAAAGAACTGTAGCTTCACGCATCAACAGAGATGGGCTAACAAAACGCATGACAAGAGCAAGTTGCAAGAGTGTGAACTCATTTTCATAAAGCTCAAAAACAAATTGAGCAAAGGAAAGCAATAGAATTATAAACAAAAATTCAGGATTCTGATTTTCCACAGTGATAAGGACAGATACTATCAGAGAGATGCACACAGGGGGTTTCAAAAGTATTGCTAATGTATTTTCCTTAAGTTAGAAGGAGTATGAGCAGATGTTTGTCATATTATTATATTTTATAACATATATGGATGTTATTTAATTTTTTTTGCATGTATCAAACATTTCTTAATAAAAGAATGCCTATAAATATCTAACATGAATTAAAGTAATTTGAGGCAATATACAGAAAACTTCCTTTTATAACAAAGTAAAGGCAGATGATGAAGACAGGAAGCATATGGCAAGCAAATGGAACAGTTTACCTTGTTAACATTGGCTGAATAATATTCAAGTTTTTCATCCAGATGCATACAGAGTGTGTTATGAACAGCAGTACTGTGCACTGGTGACAAGCCATACTGACTGGTGGCAAATCTTGGTTGTGATACTTCTTAGTTGTGGAACCTTGGGCTTTGGTTCTCTCATTTGTAAAATAGAGATAATAATAGGACCTAACCCATAAAATTATTGTCAGTATTAGATGAGTTAGCACTCGGAAAAAGCTGGGAAAAAATTTGCATAGAATAAATGCTCAATCTATGTTATATTCTTGTAGAAATTTTCTCTAGGTTTAATACTTTGAAATGTTCTGTTTGTATTATGGTAGGCTTTGGTCATTTGACGAAGCAATTGACGACATTGGCTGATGGACACGTGGTGTTGGCTCTAGAAGGAGGACATGATCTCACAGCCATCTGTGATGCATCAGAAGCCTGTGTAAATGCCCTTCTAGGAAATGAGGTAAAAGAATAAAAGTACAAAAGAGCAGCGGTAAATAACCAGGAATGTAATATATGCATGTATATTTTTTTTAAAATTTGGGTTTTTTTACATCCCATGTACTTAGAAAGCTTATAGTTGCTCTTCCTATAATTAAAGAAGGCAAGCCTTAGCTAAGAGAAGTTGACATGGTTTCATGTTGTATGCTACAACTTTTTCCCAGGTATAGAATCTACTCCCTTCAATCAGGTTATTCATATAGCTCAGAAATTAGTAAAGAAAACCTTGGGGAAAAATTACGTCTTGTCTACTGACCCAACCAATGAGCATAAAAGCATTGAATAGGAAAGAAAATTCAAAAATATATATATTTTTGAAATTTCCTGTAGGATTATTTTAGTTTAGGAGGGAAAAAAAGCTTTTCAAAAATACTGATAAACTATTCTTCTCATCACTGAAGATATAGATACTATTTTCATCTTCCAGATGGTGATAATGAGTCTTAAAAAGGCTGAGAAATCCATCCAAAGTCATGTAGCCAGAATGCATTAGATCCAAGATTTGAACTTGAATCTAAATGACCAACGGTCATTCTTTTTTTCTTTCACATCACGTAACTAAATTGCAACATATTTTTCTGACCACTCTGCAGACTTCAGATCCAATTGCTATGAGGTTCATTTCCAGATCATGGCCAGTGGCCAGTTTTTGGACCAATTAATTGCAATTCAGCAGATATTTCAGTTTGTATGTATTCATTGATGTTAGCAATTCACTTATTTTTCTTTTTGTAATTAATTTTTATTAGCATATTCATTATTATAAATCATACTTATTCTTTATGCCCCTTATTCAATCTCGCCACCCTCCTCCTTCCTCTCTCCCTCCCCCTCCCCCTCTATTTCCCACTCCCCTTCCCCACTCTAATAACCATAGATTTGTTCTCTCTATCTAGATTAACTGTTAGATTAATTGATAGACTAACTGTTCCTCTGTCGATTTGTTGCCTAGATGATCTGTCCAGTTCTAAGACAGGTGTGATCAAGCCCTCCAATGATTCACTTATTTTTCATAGTGAATATATGGTAGTGTTATGAGTACCCATAGCTATTTTGCCTTGTTTTTCATGCACTTGAAATATGACTTGGTTTATGTAATGAACGTGTATAAAATATTATTAAAAATCTATCATTATATTGTTTTTTAACAGTAACACATGCCTATGACTTTTCCCAGATATACTTATGGGAAAAAAGTACCTTTTCTTCCGCACATTGAACATATAACTTTTATTATCATTATCTTACAAACCTATAGTGCTGCAATATGATTATTTTGCTATATTTATTGAAGTAAATATATACATTTCTAATTTGAAGGAAAAATATGAGAGCAAAAACTTGAGCACAGCTCAAGTACTTTAGTCTGTTGTATAAATTTAGAAAATGCAATAACCCAAAGGATGTAATTATCTAATGATTAGTGTCAACATAGACTGCTGTTTCAGATCACACATAAATCAAGGTGTCTAAGATTTTCAAAAATGTTAGAGTCTTTCTGAGATTCCTGTGAACCGATAATGTCAAACAGAATGTTGGTGCTTTTGGGGGGGCAGTAAAGTAGTACAAAAAAATAAATGCTATTTCAATTTTATCTGTTAATGCTGGGTTGTTCTGTTTGCCCAGCAGATAACATTTTTTTGCATCGTCACCTATATCCTCAAATCATTTACTTAATTTTAAATATAGAAACATTTTAGAGAAGCAGACTGGTTTTAATATTTGTGTTATAGAGGCTTACACCAGATGTGCAGAAAATCAGAGTAGACCGTGGATTGTGGCTCCATTGATGATTGACCTGCCCAGAAAGAAATGTTACCCAGCTGCAAAAGCCAACCACTTTTCTGACTATGTGGAAGGAAATTAGGGATTTCACTTGCTCTCTTTGAACACACCCATTCAAATGAGATTCCATCCCTGTGCTCTTGTAATCTCTGCACTTGGCACAACTCTATTCTTTCAAGGGAGATTTTCTAATGAGGATGGAGTAATATCCCCTATGATCTCTTTCTATAAGAGGTGACTGTGTTTTGGAACAAATTCAGTTGTGTGGAGTTACATGTTTTTCTTAATTTATCTGAGTTTACTAAAAAGCAAAAAGTTTTATATTTTCCTTCTTCCATTTGTCCTTTTGACTGCGAGGTCTGTGGTCATTTAAGTACATGTGCTTTTCTGGAGATCAAATAGACTGCTTTCATAGAGCAATTAGTGACACCAGAGGACATCATCTGATATAAAGTTTGAGACATGTGCCTTTTTTCTTTATTTTTAGAAAGACTAGACCTGACAGAGAGGAAGGGATAAAAGTATCACTGGCCAATTTTAAACTTGCCTGTATGGGTGCACAGATTGCTAAAAATTCCAGAAAGTGGTAACTGAAATAATTACTTTGGGCATATTGACTGTTTAATTGAATTTAATTATCTGGATGTCTTACAGTAAATTTGATTTAGTTATTACAGTAGCCAAACACCATCTTCTCCCTTTTGGTTGGCTATCTTCAGTTGCATAAGCACAACCTAAAATCTGTTCGTCATGAACTAAGGAAAGATAGGTTTGACTAATATATGTCTTTCTGTATTTTTTTCCATCAAGAGTTCTTAGGGACATAAACAAGACTACTATGTAAATTTCTCACGAGATATTTTAAGGATAACAGATGGATTTGGTATATTGAACTTTCATTGTGTCAGGTCTATCAGTACACAGAGGAATAAAGCTAAGAGAGAAAAGGATTTTTTTAAATGAAAAATGAAAGAAAAACACAAGTGTGTTGTACATTATAATTCATTTGAAAAAAGGAAATGAAAACGTAATACTTGAAACAACTCAAAAAACAAAGAGTTTTCTCACTTTCATTGACAATATAATTTATAATCCAAGGCCTGGTTTTCTGTATTTTTCCAGGTCAAAGGTCATCATGACTACATTGAAGTTTTAAGTTTCATTCCTTTAGAAAAAGTAACATAAAAGGCATATTGCATGTACCTCACAGTTAGAAAAAAAGTGATACATGCATTTTTCACAGTAGTTTTATTTGGTAAGCTCTAGGTAAGAAAATAAAAAGGGATGTCTTTTGGATACCAATTATTGCAATTTTAAATCTCAGTTTCCCTCCAAACTCCATTTTCAAGTGATTAATAGAGCAATTATAACTTATTATCTGGGATTTCACTTTTACAAATAACAAAATGTAGAAAAGCTTGAGCTTAAAACATTGGCAGAACTGACTTTGGCTTCTCAACACTGAACATGCAATTGAACTCAAATTAGAAGGGTCAAGAAGGGCCTTTCTGAGGGACTCTGCACTTTGTCAGATGTATTTATTCATGTGCAGAGGATTAGAATTCATAAACATTTTGCCAGTTTTTTGAATGCTATTCCTTTCCCTTGTTGTTCTTGGCCAGGCCACGTCAATATGGCAAAATGCTGCTTCTTATGGCTTATTATCAGCAAAATAATATGTATTACATAAGCCAAAGGAATTGTAAACTCAGCAGGAGCTGTTGGCTGTGCATATCAGTGTAGACACATAGATGGGTATCAAAAAAACCTGATTTAAAAAAAAATAGTTCATTTAAGTGTTGCAACCAAAACAGGCATTTTCTTCTTTTTAGATATTTTTATCATGAAAGTGATCTACTTAGCAAAACATCTCTTAACTATTCTTTTAAGAAATATGCACAAGGTCAGTCAAAATCATATACTATTGGATTAAAACTAATTTGAGCATGGTACAGGAAATTCCTAGAGGCAACTGATTTTGAAGACATACCAGAAGTCCAGTTTTTTTTCTTTTTCTTGGCAAGGTCTAGAACTTAGATTTATCAGTCCAATCAGTGTATGATTAATATTTTTGAACTTCTTCAACGAAGCACTTGGAAAAACCAGATTGGGTGTTGTAAAAAATTGATGTAAATATCTAAATGAGAAAAATCATTAGGTTGCTTGGAAAGGCACCAGGGACACCTATGTAAATAGCTACATATTTTTTATTCAGTTATAGAAACTTCTGTTAGGTTCCCATAGAATCTGATTTTGGTCATCTGTATTTGAACTGGTTAGCAAACAGTGTCAACAATTGCTTTGAGGCCTAATTTGCCTACTGTTATGCAAAGCCAATTAGTAGCACCCTGGGTTGCTTCCTCTCAAAGAAATTTTCCCAAGAGGTGAGAAAAGCTTTAAGCAATTGCCATTCCTATGGAATCTAAAACGAAAACACTGAAAACCTCCGAGCAAGTAAAAGGAGAGGACATGTAGTAGTAGAAGCCTTGGGTAGTGAGTTGAGAACATGGCCATTAAAAGACCACCTGTCGGGGCCGGCCCGGTGGCGCACTGCGCTAGTGCGCCGCTTGGGAAGCGCGGCGGCGCTCCCGTCGAGGGTTCGGATCCCACATACAGACCGGTTCCCGCTCACTGGCTGAGCGAGGTGCGGGGGCAACGCCGGGGGTTGCGATCCCGTTGCCGGTCCTGGTCCGGTGCGGGGGCGACACTGAGGGTTGCGATCCGTTGCCGGACATGGAAAAAAACAAAAAAAAAAAAAAAAGACCACCTGTCAAAACAGAATAAATAACGGTTTCAAGTGTGTGTGTGTGTGTGTGTGTGTGTTGTGTGTGTGTGAGAGAGAGAGAGAAAGAGAGAGAAACCATGATAATTTTTCACAAACTTGGAAACTGTTGAGATGATGCCAGACTCCTGAACTGAAAGTTCAACCCTTCCCCAAGAAGTGGAGTGTATACTATGTTTTCTCTTGATCTCCCTCATTCTTTTTAAAGTTTGGCTTCTAATTTTTTTCTTTTCTTTTCTTTTCCTTTAAAATTTTTTTTCTTTACCCTTCCTTCCTTCCTTCCTTCCTTCCTTCCTTCCTTCCTTCCTTCCTTCCTTCCTCTCTCTTTCCATTTCTTTTTAATAACTTCTATCTCCTATTGAGTGTGCTCAGCTGCTTTCATTTGACTAGGATTT